ACCGTCACCGCTCAGAATCGTTTTTCTTATACAATGATATTATATCATTGAATTCAAATTTAATACCATCCATTATACAGTGACCCACTTGTAACCTACTGTACAGCAGAGCGACACCCACTTGCCCACCTTTTTTTTTTATATATATTTTTATTTATATTTTTGTGTCTGTCATCACGTTTTAGGACAGTAAAAGTGCTTGGATTTTCTTCATCAGTAGCTTTTCTGATAGGAAAGTGAATCTAGTTGGTACTTTGGGGGGTCAAAAGTATAAATTTCGCAGTAGTTTTCACAAGCGCCGGGAAAAACAACACAAAAATTAAGGAAAAACGGGAATTTTTACGCAAAATTGGTTTTCCAAAAAATCGATTTTGGTTATTGGTGTAACTCTAAAACAAATGAACGTATATACATGAAAATTTCACTGGTTGTTAATATTTGCATTTTCTATACACGATAACATTTTCAAAATATTTTGATTTATTTTGAACTGTTTAGGGACATTTTAATTTTCCATTTTTTTTTAGTTTTTTTTCTTAAAATATCAATAAAATTTTATTTGTTGGTTGCGAAAGCTTGAAAATTTAATAGAAGGCTCCTAATATGTTGTTTCAAAGGCAGATGAAAAATATTAAAAATCCTTAGTCACAATTTTTTTTTATAAGCATTTAAAGTTCAAAAATTGACAAAATATGGAAAAATCACGAAAATTAGCAAATTATTTTGAGTTAAGAATTCGTAAAAATTTTTCTTTTTAAATCTAAGATTTGAAAATGAAACACAAGATTCCTTATAAGATTATCTACCTTTATCAATAAAAAAATCTCTACCGGACAGTCAAGTTAAATTTTTATGAGCGTTTGAAATTCAAATTTTTACAACATTGGATATTCACTCGATTACTCATGTAGCGATTTCTTTATTTTGTTGCAATTCAAAAACGAACAACTGTAGATACATGAAAATTTCACTGAATGTTTAGATTAGCATTTTCTATACACCATACAATTTTGAAAATATTTTGACTCTTTTTGAGCTGTTTATGGACATTTACAGCTTTCAATTTTTTTAGTTTTTTTTTCTATAAATATCAATAAAGTTTTATCTGTTGGGCCAAAAAGTGTAAAAATTTAATACAAGGCTCCTGATATATTGTTACAATATCAGTTGAAAAATATTAAAAATACATAGGCACGATTTTTTTTATAAGCATTTAAAGTTGGAATTTTGACAAAATTTATCAAAATCTCGAAAATTATCAATCGTTGGAATTAAAAAATTATAAAATGTTCAGTTTTTATAACTAAGAGTTGAAAATTTAAAACAAAGATTCTCTTAAATAATTCATACTGTAACCAAAAAATCTAAAAAATATATAAACACAGTTATTTTTTACAGACATTTTAAATTCAAATTTGGACGAAATTACATATTAAAAAACCTAGAATAACTATTTTAGTTATTTTGTTGTGATTGAATAATATTATTCGTGGGTACTTGAAACTTCTAAAGTGTACTATTATATATCTATGATAGTATCACGGTTTTGTTGATGTATAACGCGTTATAAGTACCTAATGGACATTGTGATATGATTAATTTGGAATTTATTATAGGTACCTATTATAGGTCAATTTTTTGTTTAATACCATAGATATGTATATAATATGTCTTAAACATAGACTGACATACCGTCTCCGCTCAGAATCGTTTTTCTTATACAATGATATTATATCGTTGAATTCAAATTTAATATCATCCATTATACAGTGACCCACTTGTAACCTACTGTACAGCAGAGCGACACCCACTTGCCCACCTTTTTAAAATTAAGACTATATTTTAATTTGAACACAAGAAACCCAATACAAATAGGTGCCGAATAATAATAATAAATATAATAATAATAATAATAATAATAATAACCTTTCTTACAATGCCCGTAAAGTGTCGGTTAACGCCAACCGACTGATAACAGATTTTGTTACTGGCAGTATTCGGCGGGCTAAGTGTATGATAACGCTAACTGGCAGAATTTCTTTTGTGCTACCGATAGAATTCTGCCAGTTATTTTTAACCGACACTTAACCGGACATTATAAGAAAGGTCTTTAGTTGATGATAATTTTTAAAATAAAAGGTGTGTGGTAGATAGGTACTTGATACTTGGAAGCTACATGACCAAATATGAAAAAAACGTAATACAATGTTGCAAATGTAATAAAACAATAATTATAGAGACTGGTTTTCAAAAGTTTAATAATTTATTATTCCGTTGTCACTTGTGCATATAAGTACATTCCAGTTTAACGAGATTTTATTGTATAACCATTTCCTCGGTTGGCGAGCAACTGCAGTTAAGCGGGGTTAAGTTGGTTCAATCGAATTGGAAAATTTTTTTAAGTGCCATGCACACGTTAGACTACAACACTAGTCTACAAGGGAATTCTACGTTTTTGCTGAGTTAATCAAGCAGTAGATTTTCTTCCACTACTTGCTGAAAATGTCCGTTTTTATGTGGAGTATCGTTCTTATCGTTTTTCTGCTCTTTTAATATTTCAAAGTTTGCCACCCGACTATGCGTATAACTGTCAACTAATTAGATTCATGAATTGTGATACATAGCCCACCTTCCTTCCTTCCTTTTGCTAATTAATATCTATGGTTAAAAATTTTAAATGCGTCTTATATTCTTACTAGTCCTGTTGTTGCATGCTACTTTAGTGTACAGAAATAATTCCAAAATTATTATGAGTCCAATTAATAATACAGTTATTTGTCTCGTCGTTTCCAGGCTAAACTTTTGTATGCTCGCTCTCAGAGATAAGAGAAATACGCCATTAATTAAAAACCAACAAGACATAATAATTAAATAACGCTATCCTCGTACAAGCACAGTGATATCAATACTCTCTCCAGTTATGTCACCGACAATAAACAATGATGCAGTCTAGTGGTACAATTATGAGGTCAGACATAAGGTCAGGCTGGTGATGGTTTAGATGAGTATAATCATTTTGATAGAAATGTATTCGTCCAAACGGTTTTCTTAGTAGAATAGACACTTACTTTAACGGTATAGGCCTGGTGGCTGGTACCACTTAACCGTAAAAAATAATTTACTGAGAATATTAATTTTATATAGAATATAATATGGATAATTTCCAAATAATAACGATTTAATAGATAATAAGTATTATGATAACAAAACGTTACACAACTACTTTTAAGAACATTTGGTAAAGTTCAGCACGTCAAATTATAAACACGGACCCTTTGAAAAAATGCTGGTTGCGCTACTGAAGCAGTCTATTTCATTCGGTTTAGCATACCTAATTTCTCAAGTAGACGTAATAGTGTTATAATAGATATTATGTGGTATTTTTTGTTCAACAGCAAGATTAACTCAGTTAATGTGAATGCAGGGAATTCCAATATTATATTAGTGAAACTAAATAAGCTCATAAGAATTAAACAACAATAAAATATAAAATTAAGTGTATGCATAAATATATAAAAAAAATAATTCTTAAAATAAATAGCTGTATAGAAATAGTTTAAATTTTTTTTTTTTATGTTGTCGAGATAAGATAATCTGGTTAATACAAAATGATTAAATATTATATTGTAAAAACTAATTACTAAATCTTATGGAATCCAACGGAATTTCAAAATATATTTATGTGTAAATGAAATAACAATTTATACATCCACTTAAACCAGGGATCTAACCAGCTTTGATTTAATTCAACAAAATATCATTTCAATTCAAAATTAAATCTTCTGACTCTACATCATTATGGAACTAATGTGTATAAAGTTATATTAGTAAAAACACAAAATCAACTTAATAACATAAACAGTTTGAATAAACCCAATTTTTGCTTTCGGGTAAAAACTATTTCTATACCCCTTCCCCCATATCCACAAAAAAAAATAATACTATTTACTGATTTATTTATTTGTATATATCTGAATGGGCGAGCCCAGTTACAAGTATAGACATATGTCAAGAATTTACAATATTATTTTTTTATTACAGTGACAGTTAATCTTAAATATAATACATAAAGTAACAAAATACTATATAATATGCAACTGCACAGCTCTGAACCAACGTGTCGTATTTGTGTATTTTTTTCAAGATTCGGAGGGGAATATATAATATAAAAGCGTCTGAGACTGTAAGGTATAGATACAACACACTTCAACAGTACCACAATACCAACATCTACAGTATAAACAATTTGTTATTGTTATGACCGAAAAATTGCGAATGCGTTTTTCCTAAGCCACAATATTATTACTCGATTGATTTTAATATCGCAAGGTGTATTGTGCGATAGTTAGAGCGGCTTACATCATCATTGGTTATTGTTTTACCATTCTAATTATTATGCATAGTAATAATATATATATATAGATAAAATATAATATAGGAACCCGACTCGTTGATGTAAATAATACATTTTAAGTTATTTACGTTGTAACTTGTAATATAATATTATAAAAAATATAATAATAATAATTTAAATTGATGCATAATATTATAATGTATGTATAGGTGAAGTATCGTAATATTATTAATAGAATTTTTACACGTGAACGGTGATTATAAGACAGTAAGGTATAATAATATATGGTGCCACATTATTATTCTGAAGTGAAGAAAAATCAGTTTTTCAATTTTCGGATTTAGATGATGCGCACATCGATGGACACCACTGGGTACATCAGGGCCCACTGGCTTAATTCGAATCGTACAAGGTATACATTTGGGTATTAAAAATCTAATATTATGAAATAATTTCGACCGCTTCTTAAATTGGCTGCCTGAAAATGGATAGATCCCAGACAGGGTTCGTGGCCTGCATGAAAAATATTCGTATCGAAAAAACCAGATTTAAACTACGCGCCACTGGATACACAGACACAGCAATTTCATAATATTATAATATATTAAAAGTATTATAACGTTATAATTTAGTTGAATCGACCAACCTACGATGCAAGCGGCGATCTGTGTGGCCGAACCGGAGAATTGGCAAAGGCCCATCGTATTATCCTGTGTTCGGTCCGTGCAGCGTATTCTGCAGTGACTACTGTTGTATTATTGCGTTATATGGTATGAATTGTTGTTCTGTTGTTCTATTCCAATAACCAGACAGCCGCGTCGCGCACCGATCGCCAATGATACTGCCAGGTGGGTCGTATAAAATAATATTCTAACCGACGACGGATCGTACCGCGCAGACTATCAAGGCTGCGGAGACGCGACTTATTGCGCCGTCCATCGAGACGAAATAGACCATACAAGTAACCTGCACTGCATCACTAACCGATGCGAGAAATATTGTCGAGCGACGCGTGTGGACGCCGGCAGCGTACGTTATATTGTTATATAGGCATTATTATTATTATTATTATTTTAATTCGACTCCGCGGCTCGTCCGGCGATCTTTTAGCATGCAGTGGTACCATGTATACGATAATATAAAATGTACGAATAATAAATTATAACATCATAATATCATGTCAGACGAATTATTACACGTTTTTTTCGGCCGATGATGATAATGATTCTTCTTCTCCTATTATTGATAAGCCACCGTCGTTTATATATTATTAATGATAATGATGATGATGGCATAACGCGCCCGACGGCCGAAAACGTTTTTCGTCAAGAAGTGTTTTAAACGTTTTAATAATTGTAAATACCCCACGGGACCAGATCAAGAACGACTGACGAAAAATTGCACGATATTAAACGTGGCAACCGACGGTGGTTTTTTTATTTCATTATAAATGTCTGAGTAATTATGTGCCCGGCCGACGTCTTGATAAAAACATTTTTTCACAATCATTATAAACGTTATGGTATTATAGTGCTTGGTGATAAATTATGTTTGCATTATACGCGACACGCGTTGTATTTTATAACGTTATGTATATAGGTACAACTAAAATTAAATAAATTAAATGTTAGTTCTTCGTTTATTTGCTCACGAAAATATTTTAATTTATTATGGAGCCTGATATTATTATTCAATGATGTTTATCAAACTGTCATGGTTTATTTCAAGAAATAGGTATTAATTTATAATCACGAACAAACCTTATTTTCGAAACTTTCGTTCCGAATTTTACGAAAGTTCGTAATCCATGCATGCCATAGAAGTAATCCAATATTTAATTTAAACTGTAAATGGTAAGACTATAATATTTCAAATCGCTAAAACATCATTAATATAGCTCCGGGTTGGTGATAATATAGTTATAGTAGGTAATAGCCACATTCTTAACTTTCTGCTGTTCGTCGTATTATTTTAAAGTACTTACTTGCAGTACCAATAGCGTATACATAATAATATATAATATCATAACAATAATTATTATGTGAAATAAAAAACGACATCGTTTGGTTATCATTTATATATATTATTTTTATTTATTTATATCTCGTGAAATCATAGGATATATATATATACAGACATACAATATAAGAAAGTACCTACTACAATGTGTTATACATAAATGTACATAATATAATATAATAATAATATGTTACGGTACAGCGATGTTTGGTACCTAATATATATTATTTTAACATTCGGTGTATAAAAATATACATAAATTAACATTGTTCTGGCGGTTTTGACGTATGGAAATTGTTTTCGATCGGTTTTCGGCGGTGGCGGTGGCGGAGGGCAGAACACAGTCTCCTTCACCGAACATGTCACTAAAATCATTTATGATTGATTAGGGTCTCCGGTGCACGTTGTTTTCGGAGCAAAACGAAGCTTAACGCAATTTCCGCAACTTTATCCCTCTTCGAGACTCAAATATACGTTTATATATTATTATTATGTGTGTATTCGCGAGTGTGTGCGTGCGCGAGTGTGTCTGATCACGTGTATATAATAGAGGATAACTGTCAATCAAACGTAAGCGAAAAGTATGGCCGTGCGGTAAGCGCCCTTCTGCCCCTTTTCGGTCCCATTGTAATGCGACGTGTCTTATTGATCACCGTGTGGTGGTGGATACGGTGGAAGATTCTAGTTCGAAACGTCAAAAAGGAAAACCGACCGCACGTCATCGCCGTAAAATCTCACCACCCCTTGCCCTCCCGTCAGGGTCGTCGTACCTTTGTCCGATCGTCTGGGGTCGTTTGATGTGCTTACGTATATATTATATACAAGTATTACAAAATAATGCGGAATGGATTTTTTTCCGTCGCCGAGTGCAACGTTATATACATATATATGTATGTATAATAATATATATTTTATACTATATACCTACGTCGTACCTAACTATATAAATAATAATAATTATATATAAACGTATAAATAGTTTAATACTATACAGAAATAAAATGGAAAGAGAATTTAAAGCATAAAAAAAACATGAATACGAAAACAACGTTATAATACTATATCGTTTCATTTATAATTATTATTTTATCCGCATGACTGCCTGCAACAACCACCTGCAACGACGCGTTGCCGAGGGTGTGCAGGTCTAGACGCCCGTCGTGTTGGCGTTGACGGGCTTTCGGCGAGTTTTACTGCGGGACGGCCGGTCGTCAAGGGTTTTCATGATATCGTTCTGGATCTGCGCGAACGTCTTGCCCTTGGTCTCTGGCAGGAACCGGTAGATCAACAGGAAAGACACTAGGCACCCGGTGCCGTATATGAAGTAGTTTACGTGTATCCCCCATTGGTCGGTGATGACCTGGTACATTTTGAGGCCGACGAACGATATGACAGTGAGCGTGACGGACGTGATAGCGCTGGCCAGACCGCGGACGTTGGACGGGAACATCTCGCCCTGGAGCGTGGGCAACAGCGGCCCAAGCCCTATGCTGTAGATGACGGCGAACGATCCGATGGCTGTGAACGGTATCCAGGCGCCCAGCGACTCAAACCCGACCCACCGCTTGTAGTAGTACAGCCCAGTGATCAGCTCGAACGCGCCACACCCGAAACACGAGAACAGCAGCAGCGGCCGGCGGCCCAGCTTGTCCACCAGGTAACCAGTGACGAACGTGGTGCAAAATATCAGCACGCCCAGCAACATGGTGAACTGGTCCGGGGACAACGTCTTGTCCGTGTCGGCGTGCGCGAACGTGGAAGACGCGTACGCCAGCACGGTGGTCATGCCGGACAGCACGTCGGCTGCGGCCACGATCTGAACGATCAGAAATGCCTTCCGGCTGCACCGAGACCCGAACAGGTCTCGCACCGACCCCTTGTATTGGATATCGTCCCTGGCCTCGGCCTTGATGCGCATCAGCTCGCGGACCACCACGTCCGGTTCTGCGTTACCGTGCAGCCACGCCACCGACTCGTGCGCCTTCTTGTCGTCGTCCCGGAGCACGTAGTAGTACGGCGACTCGGGTATCCATAGACACGTGCCAAGGAACGCGCAGGGCACCAGCAGCGAGTAGTACGTGAGCGCGTCATACGACACGAGCGGCCCGATGCAGTACACGTACAGTATGCCGGCGTTGAGCATGCCGTTGAAGAACGTGCTGAGCGCGCCGCGAATACTGTCGCCGGCTATCTCACCGATGTAGATTGGCGCCACCGTGGTGATGATTCCGATGCACGCGCCCTGCAGCAGCCGCACCCAGTAAAGCACGCCGATCGTGTCGCTGCACAGCACCATCAGCCAGCTGACGATGTATAGGGGTCCCGTGAGCAGCAGACACGGTTTCCGTCCCACCACGTCCACGAGCACCCCGAACGGTATCGGCGACAGCAGGTTGCCCAGCTCCAGCATGGCGATCATCCACGACTGTTGTTCGTTGGTGGCGGCCATCGTCAGCCCGCCGTTGGACAGCTTGGCCAGCACCGGTGACGGCCAACCCAAAGACGTGCCAGCCATCATTACCGACAGCGACGCTGAAAAATAAACCCACATCAGTTATAATAATATGTCAAATAAATACTTAAATAGGTATGGGTTAGAGCGATAATCAGCTAGGACTCGCTGGTTTAATACATCAAACTACAGCCGTTAAATGTGCTCGAGTACTGATTATGAGCTTAAAAATAGGAAAATATGTACCCAAAATACAAAAATATGCAAAATTATGCAGTATAATATTTATTATTTTTATTATTATGCACATCTTTTAAAACATTAAAGCTATTAAAATGGATATTGGCAATTGAAAGCTAGTGTCGGGTCTAGAGAAGTAATAAATCGTATGCAATAAAATAAATAAATGTATTATAATATAAGCTTTATAAAAACAAGAATATTTGATTTTAAATATTTTTCAAAATAACTTCTCTAATTAAAATATTATATCTATGTAGTATGTATAATGTAATTACACTATAAATAATTAATAGACAACTAAACAATTTCGTGATGTAGAATTACATTAAACTTTAAACCGAGAATATTCTGTAATTTTAGACATTCATATATTTAACCTAAATAATGTCAAAATTCTTAGGTATATATTTTCTAGAAAGTAAAATATTTTTCTATTATTACAGTCAAAATTAATTGAAAAATAAATTGAAAACCACTCTTATTCATCTATTGGAGATGAGAATACCTATTCTTTGGGAATATTCTCTGCTCATATAATTAAGTGCCCCCATATCATCCAGGTGTGCTAATATAGATGAACACGGAAAAAAATGGATTTTCGTATAAAGTTTTTTCTTCAGAGTCCAGATCAGTATGCAATAGCTGATTGCTCCTAATGTAATGATATTTAAATATTGTCGAATATATATTGATTATATTAACATTTTCAACGGAAACACATATATTTTTAAGGATTTTTTTTTCATGTCTAAATATCTAATATAGGTATAAATAATATTTGTATTGGATACATCTGTAGACTGCAGCTACAGATATACATATATAATATCACGACCGAACGACCATCGCACAACGTTGTCGGTTCGATTCCGTGGTACACAACAACATCAAAGAACTACTGTGAGATTGGTAATTTTATATTATATTATATATTATACAACCGCACTTCAACTTTATTCGCTTAGGCCGCGGTCCGACAAAGCAGCTCGGAAATAATATAATAGCCAACTTTTCATGAAGCTTTGGAGGATTTCGGAAGAGTTTTACGGAATAAAGAGCACCATTTCTACCTGTTTGAGTTTCACATAGATCTTATCATCCTTTGATGTCTGATACTCTCCTGCTCTGATGTATCAACAACGACAAAAAAAAAACCACGTGCGTTTTAATAAAAGATAATACACAAACATTTACGAGTGGGCGGATAACTCCGCGTATTCTAACCGACATAAATCGAATGTGAGGTGTACGTTCTACTGCAATATTATATTTATATCGTAAACTTATTATATTTTTATATATAAATATTATTTTAATGTTTAAAATTTAAGCTTTACATTCTTTAATCTACAAGCTTTAGACCTTTATAAATACATAGACTAGCCACTAGCGCATTGTCAAATATGTATTAGGTTTTACAGAGGAGTATAATATTACTTATTGTATATTATTACACAATATACAGGGTGTACATTTTCACCCACTTTTTGTTTAAAATTCCCTTATTTTCAAATTCTTATTTCAGTATTGTCAAGTATACTCATATAGTCCATAGCCCATATTTTCTGATAGGTAGGTACTTGGATGTATATTTTTTTATTACAATTAAAGTAGTACCCTGTGGAGATAATCAAATGATTTTTGAAAATGTTGTTGCATCTAAATCAAAATTTCAACGTGTGGTGTCTGACGATCTGAGTATGTACTGAATAATGAAGATAATAACAATTGTCCTACTATTATCCTTGCTCATCAAGAGTTAATTAGAGTTTTACATAAAATATAAAATAGACGTAATTGTAAAATTAAGTCTAATATTTACTAATTATTAAACTAGGATAATTCTTACTCTAGGATATTTATTATAGTTAATTATAAATTATGAATTATAATTAGGTACTATAATTGTCATACCACTATAACACTATACTTGAGGTTTATAAACTCAGAAACTGTTTTATATAACACCGATTTATAGTCTTAGACATAAATATAAATTCTAAAAAAAATTATTTCTCGAACAAACTACAATAAAAACAATGGTTCTCATTTTAAAGAAACAAGTTTGTATCACAATAGAGCATTTCTTTAAATTTAAAGAAAAAAACTATTAAAATAAAAAAAAAAAGCGAGAGAGTGTGTGAGCTCATACACTCTGAGGAAGTAAAACTTCTTTCATGAGTAATTGGGCCAGTGAAATTATAAGTGAATTAGGGAGAGAGTGAGAAAAATCAATACAATAAAAAATTATGTAATTTACGATAGACATTTTTGTTTATTAATGGTATAAATAAAAAAACAAACGTGTCGTTTCATTTTTCGTTACGATTTTTTTCCACCCACACCTCAAGAAAGAAATTTTACTCCAAAAATCTGGTCTTTAAAAAATAATAATAAACTTAAATTTTGATTTTTGGAATTTTTTTAATTAACTTGAACTAAAAAAAAAAAGGATTCTTGTTGATCCTGCATCCAGGTACATCAAACATTGTATCATAAATATATACCTACATACATTTATAACCGAATGATTAATGTATGATTTACTATATGTTTATACCATCACCATATTGTATATTATAATAAGTATAATGATTTCAATACTTTTTAAGATTATTTATTTGTATTCTATTATTTCAATTTCAGATGACTTAGAAGATTTTAAATTCAACATTTTACTCATCAAGTGTTCAACATAAGGCAGTTATTGAATCATTTTTTGGTAAGACATTTTTTTAAGCTCTTTATAAAATTATAGTTAAACTTAATTGTAAAATAGTGTGTAACAAAATATTTTTAAAATAATGTAAGTCAAGTTTCCTTATTTAAATACATTTAATAGTTGCTAAGAAATGTTGAGAAAGAAGAAAATCCTAAAGAAGCTAATATTATTAAAAAAAAAACATTTATTCTTTGAGGAGTCTGTTCCTCTATATAATTACAAGTTGAATATCCTAGCTTCGCCCATGTGTAGTTTTTTTTGTCCTATATAGTAATATGCTATATAGGTGTATCTTGGTTGGAGTGTATCTCAATCTGAATGTAACTCAGTTCACTGTCGAATCGCGGAGTCTTAGTGTACCTAGCTTTGTGAAATAATTTGACCTAGGTGGGCAACCGCAAGTCGCTGTATGGATTTAGCACTTGGTATATTTTTTTAACGTGGTTTAAACTACATACTCTCTAAACTTTTCTGATATCTCTATAAACAATCTCTGAAATTTTAGTCAAATTCAATTAAGTAATTTTTTTAATATATAAGCTACTCACATACATTTGGTTTTAAGATATAGTTTCTTTATTTGAGGCTGTCAGCGAGTAAGTGTGATGCATGCTTGTTCGCCTAATCTCCCCGAGTAACCAATGGTGACTATTTATATATTTATATAAAAGAAATAATACTAATATCTACTATTACTATTATAATCTGTAATCAATGGCAAATAAAAAGAAGTTTCAATTTCTACCGTATATCTCAAGATCCAGGTTTGATAACCTCTTCATAAAGTGAATATCGAAAAATCCTTTTTTATTATCCATATAGATAATTTCAAGATCGTACGTTTTGTAGTTACTGAATTACTGAATTACTGAACGAGTGAGTGAGTGATATTTTTGATTTTATATAATTTAATATATAAATAGATTAGTTAAGATTAGACTAGATAACTAAAATTGTATATTTATTTACGTTGGTACAATGGTACGTGTTTATGATAAATGTTGGAAATCGTAAATATTTTTAAAATATGAACTAAACAAAAATGTAGCTACAAAAAATTACTGATAACATTTTCCGTTGAGATGACCATTAAAGGTACTCAATTTTAAGGTATGATATTCATTATTCATTATTTATATTTAGATACATATTATACATAATATTAATTAATATAAAAAAATATGTATACTAAAATGTTGGAAAAAAATTAACTGTATTGAAATGTTAAATACATTTTATGATTGATAGCGTTTATACATATTTATTCATTAACTATTAAAATATATACTGTATAACAAATGTTTTAATTTTTTATACTGAGTATAGAAATAAATTAACTAATTACTTAGTACCTATATAATTTTATTTTTATAATAAAAAAAATACTAATTTAAATTTTAAATTAACTAAACATTTTACTAACATATACGTATAATAATGAAATCGAATATTTTGTATTCTCAGTATAATATAGTATATAGTTAATTTAAAATATAAATAAACTCAGCCGTACTCTACAACAGTAACTGCACTTAAAAAATAAAAAATATATTATTATTCCTATATTGTCACGCTAATGGGTTTGTTTAACTGTTTTTCGTTTACAAATAATGAGTTCGAATTTGCATCACAGGGGAATACAAAATTAATAAATCATAAAATTGAAAATGCATTAACGAGGTCTGAACTGTATAGTAAAGAATAACATTCCGATTTTAATTTAACAAGCACAGTAGTTATTATAATAACAATTGGTAGGTATTAATTAAAATCTACGTAAAATGAAAGTACACAATAATGGAAATATAATATGAAATTCAATTATATATTAATATGGTATATTATATTTTTACCTAGATATGTAGTATACTAGTATAGCATAAATAAAATTAGTTTAGATTTATAACCTAATAAGGATTTATTGCAAGGTACAACCGTATAAAATATAAATCTCTCCAGGGGAGTTTTAATAAAATACTTCTGTAAATATATTTTATCTAAACGTAAAGCTATATGTTAATTAAAATTGACGGGTAAATTGTATTCAAGGATAATACCAGAGGTAATGCTAGCAAATTATTATTTTATATAAATGATTAAA